GACTCGGGAGCTTGGGTACGAGAGGGGAAGGTCATGCAATGAGCACCCCACTCGTCCGATCAAAGATCGGCCTTTACTAACATGATATCTTGTTTTTTTGAAAACACATGTGCTCTCATTCCGGTTATTAACCTAGAATTACTATGTGATGCGCACAGCATACAAGTATAGACTGGATCGCCTAAGTTGGAACAAAACATCTCATGTTTGTTTTTGAAAGCGGTTTGCTACTCGCAAGTAGACTAAAATGCGGATTTTGCCACCCTCAAGTGGGCTTAGAAAACATGGTGATTTGCCACTCTCAAGTGGGCTTAAAACCCGCAATCAATGAATTGTTCCAATTCAAGTAATCCAACCTTCACCCACAGGCATTTAGGCAGTTATATCACATAAGCAGTTAGCCTCATGGCAACCATGCTATCATGGCAGTCACTCACACACATGCAAGGATGCTAAAGCATAAACACTCACCGAATACTCCGAGCCAAAACAAAAGCTATGATAGAAATCAATGCATGATCCTAGCTATGTCAAGAATGCGTAATGCAGCACATACAAGATGCAACTAAGATAGGCTCGGCTATTCTAAAATGTCATGTGAAATACAATTTGATACATGTATTCAAATAGGAATTGAAATACAATGCAGTTAGTATGATGCGCCGAGTCCGGTGTATGCAACACAAACGAATGGATGCAAACATACGAGCATAAGGATGCTAATTGAAACATGCCCTAAAACTAACCATCGTAAGCTGGTAAATAAAAGGGAGAAAGAAATGGGGGTTGGAAGACATGCATCACAAACACGCACACTTATTTACAACAGTTGTGCCCTCTCGACGAAGGGTCTGAATGAATAATACAGAACCAACTAACTAATCTAAGCTAATCTAATTAAACTAGTTATTACATAACAGAATGAATACCAAGCTACAGCTAATTATTACACAACTCTAACTAATTAACAAATTAACTAAGTTAGCAATTAATAAGCATATAAACTATATGATGTAGGCTGCCTCAGCTCTGCTTTGAATGACAAAGGATGCATGCATGCTCGAGTCGCCTTGTTTGGAAATCCCTCGCGACGCCCCGATTTGCCTCTGTTTGCAATTGATCTCAGAACACTGTACAAAGCTCCAGAAGGCTGAAACTCCACCAAGGGAACCTGTGGGAAGGCTGCCGACCAAGTATTGGCCTTGGAGACCACCTGCCGACCACTTTTTGTGGTGGGAACTAGAAAAAGTGGTCGGCCAACCACTTTATCGGGTCGGCCGACCAGTTTTTGTTGCTGGTTTCTGGTTTTCTACAACAGAGGGCAAGAAAGGGGCATGGCAAAGTATTTGCAACACATGTATGCGCGACCACCCAATATGGAATGAATGCACATACAAACACCTAAAGCCTAGAACTCCCTCATGTATAGTCAAGAGTGTCGACGACCGAGAATCGAGGTAAGTTTCATCACTTCGAGTATAAAACGTGCCTCGTTTCCCGTGTTTGGACTAACGCCTATTCCAAACACAATGCAACAAACATGGCATGCACAATGCGACTCAATCATGTAACTTAATGCAACACAACTTGGACATGCAAGCATGCAAGGGATGATCATGCAAACATGCAAACTAGCATACACGATGCTATGAACTATATGGCATACACAACGCTCATGACACTAACATACACAATGCACGTGGTAACCAACATACTTAATGCAATGAAAATGGCATGCACAAGTGCAATGATCAATCATGTAACAACATGGCATGCTCAATGCTACGAACTACATGACATACTCAATGCGCAATGGACTTAAACCGAAATGAATAAGCCTTAGCCATGTCCAAATCAGCGGCCATTGATGATGAAATCAAGGCACCAAAACACACACAAACATGTATAATGCAATGACCCAAGCCTAAGGCACAAAATACAACTCTCCAAGAGCATTGAAAAGATGAAACATACAATACAATGGCATGTGTTCCAGCACTGAAATGGCATACAAAATGACTTTGAATCATGTAAACAACTCACGCAATGCATATCGAAAGCTAGTGAAGCATATTACCCTAGAGGCATGTAAGGCGATGCTCAAACGACCAAACCAACCCCAAATAGACCCTATGCAGGCCAAAATAGCAGCAAAATGAGTTGGGATGATGGCTTTGAAAGGCACAAAAATGGGGCTCATGCAATGGCTCACAAATAGGGCATAAAAGCATAACTCTAAAGAGCACTTAAAGAGTGAAAAATATAGAAGTATAGCAAGCCTACATGCTCTGAAATAACATTCCCAATGATGCCAAAACATGTAAATATCTCAAGTTAAACATGCAAGAGACCTCAAAACTCAAACTAGTCAAGGCTATTACACAACAAGCATGCATGGCAAGGATCATTCGACCAAGAGGCCTCAAAAAAGAGCTAAGGCAGCCCAAAATATGAACAAAATCATGTTGGAGCAAAGCCAAAATGTGCTAGAATAAAGAGTCGAAACATCATGCGAACCAAGCTAGTAAACAAGATTTGCACTACAAGCATATGGAGCATGTGAGAGGTTACCAAACCAGCCAAAAATAGAGCCATGACATGTCAAATGATGACCAAAAAACACTGAAATGGAGCTAAAACATGCTAGATTGATATGCTACCTTGATGAGCCATAAATGGAAATACACTACACATATGAGAAGCATGCCAAGGGTGACCAAACCAACCATGGACAGAGTCTAGGCAGGCCCTAAAAGTCACCAAAAAGTTCCTGAACCAAGCCTTGAAAGTATGAAAATATATGCTCCTTTGATAGGCCAAAAATACAAGTAAACATGAGAAAAGAAAAAATAATAATTTTTTTTACATATGAATAAATAAGTAATGCAAATTTTAGGAAAAAAATAAATCCATTTATTCCAATTTTTAAAAAAATTCGAATAATAAATGCATTACTTAAAATGATAAATTTTACATTGTTTATGTAGTATGGAATAATTCTTATATTAAATTATTAAGATATTATCTAACATTAATTTTACAGAAATTGTTTATTTTTAAGTATTTTATAAGTGAAAATTAAATTTTTGTTCATTAAATCTTTCAATGTTTAAACAATCTAAGGGTTTTATTTTATATCGCATGAAATTTAAGAATTTTATTAAATAATGCTAAAATAAGTATGGGTCTTTGAAAATATATATGCAGAACCTTAAGATGTAATTTACCTATGTTGATAGTGAATGAGTCAGTTTATTGTTATTTTCGTCTTTTCACATGCAAATCAAAGGATAATATAATCATTTTCATACTCAATTAATGTCGTTTGTACGAATTGTAATATATTGGGAGAATCTTTATAATAATTTTAAAAGTAAGAGAGATTAGTATAATTACTAAAATCACAAAAAAGTTTTCTATAATTGTCAAAAATTTCAGACGAGGTAAATGTAATTTACCTAAAAATAAATAAATAAATAGAGCATATGTTACTTAAATGTATTTTTGTTCACTTTCCCCTTGTCGTTCATTCTCACTCCACAAATTCTATAATCCAAACGACTAAGACAATTCAGGCCAAAATAATTTGAGAAATTCCACGGCAATGGAACAACTCCAAAATTATGTGTTTGGAGTTTGTATATATACATAAAATCTGAAGACCCATACAAAAATAGGAAAATCAAAGTAAAACTACAACTCAGCAAAACCAAGAAAACCAAAATAGGGAAATTTGGAAAGGGTTTGATCCGGGGACGGAACTAGGAGAAGACTATGGGGGGTCATGGCCCCCATGTTTCTCTAAAAATTATTGTTTGTCATTGAATTTTGAAAATATATATATATCATTTTATACATAAATGGCCCCCAATTAAAAAAAATATGTCTTTCTTCTTCTATCTTAAATTCTTTTTCTATTTTACACCAAAAAAACTTCTTCATCTTATTAGAAATTGTTTCTATGGTATTTAAATTTTATTTATGTATATATAATTTCTATATATCATATTATATATACATGTATGTTTTGTGTATATGGTAAAAAAAAATTATTTTCTTTTGGCCCCTCCGACAATGAAATTCTGGTTTCGTCCCTGGTTTGATCACATACATACATTTTAATTGATTGAGAATGGGACTTACAATTTTGGGTGGAGTCATTACACTTTTTGAGTATGAGATCTACATACTTAGATCAATCACATTTAATATATTATTCATACATTAAAAAAATGTGTGAACAAATTTTATTTTCCCTACTAATTAGTAATTTACAACAAATCTATAATGTTGGAGTAAGAACGTTATAAATGAAATGGAAAATGTGATAAAAATGTGAATAAAATATAATTAATTTTTTTTTTTTCAACTTTCTTTTTGTTTCTAAATTTCTATCTAAATTCATTATCCAAACATAATCTTAATGTGTGATTTTTGCACACACGTTAAGAAAATTAAAAATATTATACATTCTGCATAAAAATATATACAATAATAAACGCAGAGTCATTTTATATCATCTTAGCATGTTCCCTACAAACACAAGTTAACAAGACTCATCTAACAAACAACAGAAAGACCCAACAAAGTTTGAGAGTAAAACCCTAATCTCTGGCCTTGTTTGTTTTCCTCCATAGTGAAAGTCCAGAGACTCTTTAACCAAAAGTATGGTTGCTCAAATTTGTTCCAATCAGCCTCTAAAATCAGTTTCTATAAGATATCCAATCTTGATCCATACCTCATTTCAATCTCATGCTTAGGTAAAATTGTCCCATTAAATGTCTGGTCCGAAATGTTCAAACTACTCAATGTTCCCTAAATTATGAAAAACCGAAACAGATTGAAATTATGAGTACATGCACAAATAAATAGGAATTTATTAGAGATGGGATTTACTTCAATATTGCACAGGGACAAGAAAATGCAAACCCAATGAATTGAAAAACATCTAATAGATAGAGAGTTGGAGACATAGTTAACACAATAAATCATCAAACGGCTGAGGAAAAACAAAATCAACTATAGCATCATTGATTTCATTTTTTTTCTTCTTTTATTTCATAAAAGCAGTCAAACTTCATGTGGGAACTCTTTACAATACATTGCAATGACCAAAAAAGTATAAGAAAAATAAAAGAATGAACTTCTGTTTGAAACAGTCAAAAAGAAGCATATTTGTTTGCAAGTTTATGTACATACAGAAGAAGACATGTAAGATCACTCTGATGGTTTGGAATCTACAACAGTCAAAAATGAGTGAGAGATCAAAAAAGAAAAAAAAAAACTAGAGATTACTGTGATTGAAGATGAAAATTCTTTTTCTTAGCAAAAGAGTAATCATAGGCACGAACCAACCGCTTTCGAAATCTTCCAAGATTCAAACTCACATTTTGACGATCAAGATAGATTTTTTTAGTGAATTCCCATCCTTTCTTGACCACGCTGCTCGGATCTCTCAGAACAGGATCGTTCTTATGGTATTCATTGTACAACGAGCTCTCTCTAGGGAGGATTTTGTAGCCAATGTATTTCAAACCAAGCTTCATTGCTGGTTCTCCATAATAAGTCTCTGCTGCCCATTCTGTTCCAAGAGGTATCACCTGAATAAGCACCGATTTTGGTCTCAGAAACAGAAAATGAGTCATGGCAGCACCATGGACACCAACCATAACATTGCTTGAATTAAGCGCCCGGTAAATCTTTGCCAATTCAGATGTCCGACCAGGCCTTAAAGTTTCCACTTCAAACCCAATTTGCTCTGCCATTTTCACCAACAAATCTTCGTTAGTTATTGCCCTAGACCCATTTCGCAATAAGAGGACTAATTTTGGTTTCTTCAATTCTTCCTGCTGTTCTTTTCTTGATGACGGTGGTAAAGAGAGCGTCTCTTTCAAATTCAATTGGGCTTCGCGTTCCTCAACTTGAATTAAACCCCTAATTCGAGGCCCATAAGCTCGATCTAGGAGATTTCGAAAATCTCTAATGGTTTTACCCCCTTCCATCAATGAAGAATCAACAGTGAGCTCATCATGAATTCTCAAACCAACAATGGCTTCTGGGAAGCAATGAGTTCTATTGTCTGCACTGAAATCTATTGGCGCATAATCCGATAGATGCGAAAGAATGTCACCATACTTAGTAAACCACCAATCATGATACTCAAGAATAACAAACACAACCCTCTTGTTGAAATGTTGAGAAGTAATGTAGAGAGGCAAAATTCCATCATTGAATTCGTGATAAACGTTACCAGTATAGCCTCCGGTTGAAAAGAACACTGCTGGGACATTATGCTGGACATCACACCTATGTCGTGTCCTCGCGTTCTCTATTTTTGAAATTAGGTGTAATTCATCAATAGAGTCCATAACACTTGACTCCCATTTTCGGGTATAAGGCTTAATGTTTTCGTGTCGGAGTTCTTCTTCATCATCATCTTCATCACCATCTTCAGCCAAGCCCGGAACATAATCAATCAAACCATGGATGTTTCTTGAGGCATAAAGGTAGATTGAAGAAGATGCAGAGTGTGATCTCACATCCCCCTTCATGATACATATATCTGATCGAATACTGTTTCTATCACAACAAATAGTTCCTGCATATAAAGCAAAGAAATTTAATCTAGACCTCGAAACTGTAACATTGAAAGAACAGTAGATAGAACATATACTGTCTCATTCCAGAGTTGTAAATTGAAAGAATGGGGGGTAAAAAAAAACAAAAATACTGAAATCTCAGGAATGAATGGGAAGCAGTTGTATCCATTCATCATGATTAAAAGGTAAATCATAACGACATGAAAAAATAAAAAAGGTTGGGGATTGATGAAGCAGGGGTACTTTTTATACTCATCTCACATGACTAAAATAATAAAATTAAAATAGATGAACTTGTGATCTTGGAGATTAGAGAACAAAATGATATTTCATACAAATCTCAACAAGCTTAAACATTAAGCAAACAAAGGGATTCATTGAAGATTGAAGAACAACAGTGGATTTTTTTTTTTTTTTCCGGTGTCGATTGAAAAACAAAAGGGTATGTTTCATATACATCTCACCATGTCCAAAAGCACCAAAGGAAAAAAATGAAGAAAAAAAAAAATCTGAGATTGATGAACAGAAGATATTATTGATATTCAAACTGTATATAAAATAGCCACATATATATATATATATATAGAGAGAGAGAGAGAGAGAGAGAGAGAACGAACCATTTGGGATTGAGGAACAAAGGGGAGCATTTACATCGATCTCAGCACCAAAGCTTGCATCTTCGTGTCCAAATGAATCTGCAAAACCCAGAAGAAGAAAACATGAGGAGACAGAAATAGGATGAGAAATCAAGGGGAAAAAAGAAGGAAAGGCATGGAAGAGGGAAAAGCTTACATAAGAGAGAGAAGTCGGAACGAGCAAAAATCAAACAGCAGGAGAGAAGAGAGAGAAACAGGAGAGAGAGACGTTTGGGGCTGGTTCTCTTGTTAGTAGCAGAGTTTCCACAGACTAAAGCAAGGGTAGTCTGTGATTCATCCTCATCTTCATCAACAACATCTACACCCTTGTTGAAGGGGTGATGATATCTCTGATAGTGCACCATCTTCTTCTGCAACAGTGCAGAAACAGGGAGAGAAAGAGAATAGAACAAATGGGATTTTGGTTCTTTGGTGGAAGGGTTTCTGGTGTTGCTCTGGTTATTGGAATGGGTGTATAGAGAGAGAGAGAGAGAGAGAGAGAGAGAGAGAAAATTAAAGAGGAAGGAAGGAAGGAAGAAGTGCTAATTGGTTTTGAGTCAAAGAAAGGCGTAGGCGTGTTGTGTATCATTTGGGCTGGGAATGAGTTGGCTGGCCAAACCCCAATGGAAATCGCCTTCTTCGTAACGTGAGGGACGGAGAGTAGTGAGACTCACGCGCCTTTCAATTCCGTGTAGTCTGGTATATATATATTGGGGGTGTTTGAAGAGTCCAGATCCCTCCTTGTAATTCATTTCCCATCTCCTCCTTGCAACGGTTGAGATCAGTCGTTGTATATCCAACGGCCATAAATAAATAAATAAAGAGGATGGTTATTGGATGTGCAACAGCTAATCTCAACCGTTACAAGGAGAAAATGAAGGAGGAATTGCAAGGAGGGAATCCGAACTCGTGTTTGAATGCTTATTCGCTCAAAGTGCACCTAAGACCCGGCCTAGTCCAGCCCGATCTTCTCAAGCTAGGGCCTGGGTATTTTTTAGCTCGGCTCACTTAATGTCCAATGTTATTTTTATATTATTTTGGTGGAAAAAAAAATAAAAGTTATCAGGCATAGGTCTGCCTTAAGCTTGATCTCAAGCCCGTGGCTTAACCCGAGACCCAAATTTCCCTGAGGCATAGGCTTGGGCTTGAGCTGAGATTTTGTACAAATGAATCGGCCAGACCTAATTTGATCCAACTCAATTTTTTGCGAGAACTCGATAAGCCTGACAGTGGGCCGACCTAAGGCTGGGCCAAATTTACACCCATATGTGCATGTTATAATTAGTTTGAGAATTTAGTACTTCAAAAAAAAAATAGGGTGAAAAAAATCAATGGATATAAGTGTTTTAGAAGAGAAAATGTGAGTTTTAGAGAGAGAGGGTCTCAACTTAGGGTTTTAAGAGAGAGAAAGAGAGAGAGAGATATGAAAAGTGATGTAAAATGCTCTTTTACAAACTGATATACGCACAGCTCGCTCGAGCGCAAAAGTTGTCGCTTGAGTGACCTGACACAATAAGTTGTTCTACTCAAGCACACGAAGATTTGCTTGAGCGCAGAATACACACTCTCAGAAGTTTTACAGACAGAAAATCGTCGCTCAAGCACAAGAAGTCTGGCTCGAGCGAAGAACACTACCTCTCTAGCATCTCTGCAGGCTTGCAAAAGTGCTGGGAGCTAACAAAGCTCGCTCGAGCTCAAGAAGCTTCGCTCGAGCGAAGAGGCCAAATTTTGGACAACAACAGTTTGAACCAATTAGCAACCAACCTGTTCCAAACACAACCAAGACACTTCAATACCCAAATTCAATAAGAAATAAGGAGAAACGTGGTATGAATATCTAAATAAGACAAAAGAAGCCTGGATTCAAGATATCAACGGGTCGAGTCTAAACTAGGAATGCTATAACTGCGACTACCATCACTACCATTACATTAGCATTGCCACTACCACACTTCAACAAATTATAACCACCATCAATGTCGTCACCACCACTACTACTACAATCATCAGTAATATCACTACTTTCATAACTATCAAAACTATCATGATGTAATGCCCAAGATTTTGTCACCCGTAACCATTACCATATCCATTATCAAGCCTATTTGAATAGAGATAAGACACTAAAGAAGTAAAAAATAAGTAAATTATAAATATTCGCTCTTGTATATACAGCGAATTACAATGAGTGCCCTTAGGTTTACATAAACAAATATTCAACAATCAAATGATAGAGCAGGAATTAATCCCCTTTTACAAAACATAGGCAGCAATCTTCAGATAATAGGCCTTTGGCCAACAAGTAAAAGACTCTTCGGTCTTGAACAAGTTTTCAATGCCACACCTGAAAAATGATTAGTAATGTTTGATGACACAAAGGTCCAACAGAAATTTCAATGATCCTAAACAATAACAACACATAGATAACTATGATCATGATTGCTCCACATTATAATTTTATAAGTAATGCGACTTTTCATAACTAAAATATGCTTATATAAATATATATTTTCAAAATATCCTCTTTAACAGTACAAGAAACAAAATCATTCTATCTTTCTAACCTTTCCATTTTAATTCAAAAGAATTTCCTGATAACATTTTATTTATTTTTTTTTTTTCCGAAAACAAGTTCATACGTTCAAATCATACTCTCATCTTGCATTCTAACTCACTACAGTCACAAGGACATCTACCATGTTTTATAACCTTCAGCACAAGGGAAAATGGAGCACCCACAACAATATAAACAAAAGGAAAACAACAATAACATCAAACAACATTAACATTAACATCAACACACACCCCCATGTTTTACCGACCGTTGGCATAGAAGGAAAATGGTGCACCCCTCATATCACAGTGTATATACGAAAATAAATTAGCAACATTAATACATAAGATAACCTGACTTCATCAAACCACAACGACCACAACACGCTTTACTTGGCATGAGTCAGAAGGAAACGAAACCTATCTCAAAAAGCCACGCTTTATCGGACCTCAACCAAAAGGAAACAGAACGTCAACATGCTTTACTGAGCGCAAGCTAGAAGGAAACGAAACCTATGTCAAGGCACCACACTTTACCAGATCTCAGCCGAAAGGAAACGAGCCTTCAACACAGTAATTTCACATTCCACAATAATAAGTACTCAAATCATTACCAAGCATTCTCATCTAATCGTGTGATTACACATTTAATGAACTACACAATACTCATATAATCCTTTCTACAACAAACATTATCATCCTCCACTAATGGTCAAGGAAAAAATCTCTAACAATAAATAATATAAAACCTCATAATTAAAACAAGATAGTTCTCATAATATCCCTTAACTATCAACATGACAAAGGATATCAAGAATAGGAAATAGTGAAATCCTTGCTTTTCTCAATTTCTCAAAAAATACTATACAACTCAAATTCCTGGTACTTATATCATATTTTTAATTCTCAATAATTACAACAGATCATTAACTATAAAAACATTCCATTCAATTCAAAATATACATCAATTCTTAATAACCTTTCGATTACCCATTTTACCTTGTTAGTTTACTTTACTAAATATAATCCAACAAATGTTTAAATCATCAATTCAGCTCTTTACTCAAACTCAATAAATAAACCAAAATTAGGAATTTCCAATTATAGCATCCTAAGCATGCTCACATAACCATAATCTTGTGTAATCAATGGGAGATGTTACAATGTGCACCCTCAAAAAAGTGCATCTGGTATGCCTTTCATAATTTTTTCACAAAATTTCATAACTTAAACCCAAAATGACATAACTTTTTCACTGCAGAAGTCATAATTTTTTTTTTACTGAAAAATGTCATAACAAAATCTCAAAGTGTCATAACAAAAATCACAAAATGTCATAACATTATCATTCCTAATTTTAGGGTGCACATAATATATTCGCTATTTATAACTTTACTACAAAATGTCATAACACACATCACAAACAATCATAATGTTTATCATAAAAAAATCATAACTTTTTTACAATGTGTATCATTTGAAAGAGTGCACATTGTAAATTTCTCCATAATGAATTATCAACAAAGTTAAAACACACAAAGCTCTAACCTTAACCCCTCATCTTCATGCTTTTGGGAAAATCTCATAACAATTCATGTTTTCATGTAATAAAGTTACCACATATCTATCTATAATGAAATATTGAATAGAATCAAAGAAATCCTTATATCCAAGCAAAGAGAAGAATAAGAGAAGTAAAAACCCTAAAAGTAAAAATTGGCGAAACAATGATCCGCTCAGATTAGAATGAAGCCCTCGATACGTTTTACAATCTATCTCAAAGGAGTAAGGTGACGTGATTATCTGATGTGAGTAGATCAGAGGATATGTGTGAAAAAGCAAGAGTTGAGAGAAAAATGGGTTACGGTGTAAGAGGGGAATGAGAGAGAGAAAAAGAAAAAGTGGGGAAAGACGGTGTACAAGGGTCTATATATATAGTACTAGGACAAATGTGGAATATTTTCCCTAAAGTCAACCAAGAAAATAAGTCAAAGATCCCAAAAAGAAAGGCGCAAATCGCAGTTGAAATTTTGAATTTTTCCTGTCAAGTGTTGACACCTTGCAGTGGAGGGGTCTCATGCATGTCTGAAATAGGCTAGGAGTCAACACCAACAAGCCCTGGTGTCGACACCAGAAAGTAGTGCTGCAACATGTACAACCCAGGTCCAACAGTGTCAACACCAGAAACCAGAAACAAAAGAGAAAAAGAAAGAAGGCAGGTGTTGACCCCAGGAAGTCTAGTATCGACACCTTACAACAGAATTTCTAGGTTCAAAACATTTTTTTGATATATTTGATTGCAAATGAACAATCCAAAATAAGTTTAGATTGGACTTCACTCAACCAATGCAATGATATATCTCCCAAAGGATCTCAATGACAAAAAGAAATAAAATTAAACACACTTTCCAATGACTTAATGAACACAAGTATTACACATGATCTGGGCAATTTTAAATTAGTTGTTACTAGTTTGATAGATAAATAAAAATATATTAAATAATATTCTATTCTATTAATTTAACAAGTATAATTACACAAGAAAATAAGAATTGTCATTATATTCCTACTTCATTTCATGTGAGCACCTACACAGTGGAATGGAAATGAGCATTCTATTCCATTCTCACTCTCATTTCATTTCCACTTCATTTTATTCTATCGTACTAACTTGCTCTCAGATTTAATCTTATTTGGTGATAATGACATGTTTAATGAAATTATTTGGTAAGAAGTACAAATTATTGTTTTGAAGAATTTTTTTTTTCTTCCAATGTTACTCTACTGCCAAACTGCTCTTGGCTGCAATTGAAAAGTTGATCAGAAAAGTCGTTGGAGGTGGCTGATGGTGACAAGTGGTAATTGCCATCGACAATGGTGGTGGTGATGATATAGACAAATATATAGATTAAGTGGATAGATATTTGATATATGGATAAATAAAAAAAAGATATATAGACAAATAAAAGGTTGATACATGAA